CCTAATTGAATGGTCACAGCACAGAGATTTAAATCACAGTGTCACAGGGCAGAGATTTTTGGGGAGAAAACAAGGTGGCTTTCTCCCACAAGCTGCACCCCACGTCCCCACTGTGGTTGCACCCCCCTTCCCAGGCCTGTCCAGCCCGGGCCCCAGGGGTCTGGTGCCATGTTGCCCAGACCCCCCACCCATACCACAGGGCCCCATCTGGGCTGCGAATCTGCCAACTTGCTTTGCCTTTGCAAGCACCCGCAACCCTGCCCCGAGGGCTATCGCCCGGCCTTGCGCTTCACGCCACGCCATGTGCCGTCCCAGCTCACGGCCGGCCCTTGCAGATAGGACCTTCCTCTGGGCCAACTCCGGGCTCCATGCCAAGCCCAGGCCCCGCAGACTGCTGCCCGGAGGTGTTGGGAGCAAATCAGGATAGGGACAAAGCAGGGACCCCTGAACACGCTGTGCAGGGTGTGGGGACCAGAGCCCCCAAATTCCCTGGCTGGGGCGTGGACGGCTGCAATACTCTCTGAGTCTGCAGCTGCCGCTGGGAGGCAGGATGGGCAAGCAGCGAGCAAGGAGCACAGCCAAGCAAAGTGCCCCAAATTCCTTCCCTTCACCCGCCCTCATGCCACCAGGCCCCCTTGCCCCCTAGCCAGGAGGAAGCCAAGCTTGGAGATGCTTGTTACCCAAATAAATCCTTTATTAATTCACAGTGGCCAGACACGGCACAAAGGCACGGGGGCTGCTGGGGAAGTGCAAACGCCTGTCCGTGCTGGGGACGCGCGGGAACGGGCTCCAAGGTGCGACAGTCGGTGTCCCTGAGCTGAGCTGGCCCGCTGAGCGGGGGCAGCCCCATGGCTGGGGGTCAGGCTGCGGCCCCACTGAGCAGCTGCCTGGCCACTGAGCCCCGAGGCAGCTCAGGCGGTGGTGGTGGGGAAACAAAAATCACCCTCGAGTACAGCAAGGACAAGCCTGGGGGCTCAGAGAGGAGGTGCCAGCTCAGAGGAGGGGCTGAAAGCCATGCGGGGCCTGCCCCAAAGCCATGCGAGCTCCCCCAGGGCACAAGGCAGGGGAGGACGTCAAGGGACCCCAGGTCCAGCAAACATGCCCACACCCCAGGTGCTTTCTGCACACAGATTTTAGGGGCAGAGCCTTGTCCGGACCCTGGAAAGGCCACATGGGGCACAGCCGCAGGGGAACACGGCTGCTTGGGGCCAGCACCCGACTGGCCTCCACCCTGGTGCCCCCTCCCCGGGAGTCCTGGGGTCCTGCTCAGTTATTGCGATAGACCTCCAGCTTCCTCCCGCATTTCAGGCCCGGCTGGTGGAGGGCTCGCCACATGACCAGAATCTCGTAGGGCAGGAACCGGTGCACGAGCAGCAGCTCCTTGTAGTAGCACGGGTCAAAGGCGGCCAGCTTGGCTGAGGGCAGGTGGAAGCCCACCGTCCGGATGCCCATGTGTGAAGCCGGGACCAGCCCTGCCTTCTCCAGGCACATGCCCAGGTAGACATCGTCAATGGGGAAGATCTCGATGTTCAGGGACTCGCGGTAGATGGCGTGGGTGGTGAAGCCGGACATGAGCAGCCCCCCGCCCGCGCAGTAGGGCGGGTAGAGCTTGGCGGTGGTGACCTGCTCGGGCACGTAGTACTTGCTCCACTTCTCACGGATGGGGCCAACGCTGGCGATGAGCTGCCCCACGAAGAGGTGGCGCTCGCTGCCCTCGTCCCCCGTGCCCTGCAGGTAGTGCACGATGTTATCGGTGTGCACGAAGACGTCATCATCCCCGTTGAAGACGAAGCGGACACCGGGGCAGCGGGCCTCCAGCCAGGTGTGGAACAGCACCTGCTTGAGCGTCAGGTTGAAGAAGCTGTCCACGAAGCCCCACTGCAGCACGTCCCCGTGCTCTGCCGCCTCCAGCTGCAGCAGCTGGTCCAGCTTCGAGGCCTCGCGGGCATCCAAGGCCGTGCCCACCAGGAAGACGCGGCGGATGCGGGCGCCCGCGTACGTCCGCTCCGCCCCCCAGGTCTTGCGGATGATCTCGCGCCGCTCGTAGTTCGCGGGGGCCGATTTGATGGCCAGGATCAGGAAGACGCCCCGGGATGCCTCGGGCCCCCCGCACTTGCCGGGGACGTCCAGGAGCTGCGGGAACTCGCGGCAGTGCTTGTAGCGCAGGAAGTCCTTCACGTGGGCCGGCAGGCCGGTGAAGCCGGAGAGGTTGGCCACGGAGGCGTTCTCCCGGCAGACCGGCGTGGGGCGCGGGGACGCGAGGGTGGGCTCGGGGCTCGGCTGGGCACTGGGCATCATGGTGGGCTCCCCGGCCTGCTGCGGCATGGCGCTGTTGCCGGTGGTTCGCAGGAGGAAGAGCAGTGCGACGGTCCCGACGGTGACCAGGAGCACGGCTTCCAGCTTCTGGCACCTGCGGGCCATCGTCTTCTGCAAAACAGGCCCAGACGGGCTGAGGAGCTGCATGCGGCTGCCACGCCGGCCCCCTCCACCTCATCCCCACGGGCACCGGATACCTCTGGGCTTCTTTGGGCCCAAAGTTTCGCCCCAAACCAGGCTCTTGGGGGCTGTGGGGACACCTACAGGCAGACCCGAGCCAACAGCACTGGGCTCCATGTAGCTCAGGATCAGGCCAACCTGGGCAGGTTGGGATCCCTCCCCGGGGGTCAGCAGGGGATGCTCAAAGGTGGCACTGGAGGCAGGGTGGCAGGGGGAGGCGGGCCCAGGCACTAGTAGGTCTTTGCTGGGGAAAGCACTGTGGGACACTAAAGCACCAGCAAGGCAGGTGCCTTCGGGCAAGGCTGGGAGACAGACAGGTTGAGCTGGGTTGAGCACGAGAAAGGAGGGAGAGGAGCGAAGTCCTGGGGACAAAGCAAAACTACCTCCTAGCAGCACCCGCACGACTTCCTCGGAGCCGAGGACAATGCCACTTCACTCGTGCCAGTGACGCCTCCACCTTGGGGCCTCTGCACCGGCCTCCCCAGCGCCCCGGGGCAGACACCGCCCCGGCAAACAACCGGCGTCTCCCCCAGCCCGAGCCAGGCCTCCCCACTGAGAGCTGGAGGGGGAACCGCTGGGGGTCAGCTCCCAGTTCTGCTCCTGTGGCCCCCACTCCCTGGAGTGGGGGGGCTTTTAGCTCGGGGGAGCCCCGGGAGACCCCCCCTCACCGGCAGCCTCCAGGAGATCAGGCGCTGGAGAACCCAGGTAGGCGGTGGCAGCTCTCTGGATGGCATTGCACCTTGCTCTCCTGCCCTATCCACCCCGAATGGCTGGCTATGCAGCGTAGGAGGAAGCCTCTCTCCAGGCATTCAGATCTGGTGGGCTGCTACTACCCCACAGCCTGGCCACAGGCAGAAGGGCTCCCTACACCCCAGTCCTAGCCTTTCGCCCAGACCCCTGCCCCTTCACCACCCCCTCAGCCCCTGAGCACCCAAACCTCGCTGTAGTCCCACCCCACCCCAGCCCCGTCACCCACCACCCCATTTCAGC